TTATCTTATCATATTATTATCTTATTATATTATTATCTTATCATATTCAAAATGGCTTCGCAACGAAAGACCAAAGAATCAAGATTAAGCAAAATTTTTAACCAAAATTACTTTAATTCACTTGTTGCTAGCACTCATGTGCTGCAAGCTCCAACTGCTCAGTCCGGGTATCAATCTGACGAAAATATTCAAAGTACTTCGAGAGATATACATGATCACTCAGAAGGTTAAATATCTTTAAAAATGTTTTAGTTTATTTCGATAATTTTTATTTATATTATTTTTTTTTTAAATACTTTTAATTTTCTTAAGGTAATATTACATTGGTGGCTATTATGGACAAACTAAATGAATTATCCGAAAAAGTTGATCGTATTGAAAAAAAAATTGCTGATATGGATGATAAAATAACGGATAATTTTAATCTTACCAAAGATGCAGATTTCATTAAAGTAATTATACTATATTTTTATATATTGTGTTTAATTAAATTAATTTTTAATAATAATTATCTTTATTATAGAATGCTATTAAAGAAACCACAAAAGAACTAATTAATATTTGTATTTATCCAACTAAAGAAGAACTTAAAGCGGCAACTGCCAATTATTTAGAGGATAACAAAAGTGATTACTGGGATAAAATGAATCCAAGTAATTGAAATTCAACATTTAACACCAAGTTTGCTAGACCTGTAAAGTTTTATAAAATATTTATAATTTTTAGCATTTTCAAAATCTTTTGAATAATTCTATATTTATTTTGTTTCTTTTTTGTTTTTCATACTATTATTTATTTTTAATTATTTTCATATTTGTCATATTTTTTTAATTTAAACTTTAATAAATTATTTTGCTTAAATTAATTACTTCTGAATTATTTCGAAAATTATAAAATATATTTTATTTAAATTTTTATTTGAATTTATTTGAACTAATTTTGTTTATTCTCTTAAATTTGTAATTTATTTAGCTTAAAAAGGCATATCGATCACAAAGAAGCGCTCTTTCTTCAAGAATTAAAGATGCATTGTTTACTATATATAGTGAAAGAGAGTTAGATTCGATTAAGGCAAATGCAACTCTATCAGAAATAAAAGACTAGAAGGCTTTGACAAAGACGCAAACAGCCTATTCTAAGCTTTTTTCTAAGAAGATCCTGATAACTCACCTGATACTTATATTGTAAGGATCCTCGACAGGGTGTGGCCTGATGCCACCCCTTCAAATATTCAAATAGTATATGCAATTACTATATGCCAAGTAGTTCTTAGCGATCATTATGAGAATTTGATGTTAAAAGATGCAAGGTGTAGCAATAGATTAAAAAGAAATGTCATAAGTTATATAATATAAAATATAATATTTAATATTTAGACTAATATAATTAACCTTAAATATTTTGAAAATATGTAAAATTTACAAATATAAGGATAAATTAGTTTAAGATATTCCATTTACCTCCGGAACAATATCAGATACAGAAGGTGAAGATGAATCTGTACCTCAAACTTGAGGCATAAAGTGTACAAGAGGGAAAACTTCTAAATATAACACAAGATCCACTAAAAAGGCCAGAACTGCCAAAACTGCCGCAACTGCCTCAACTTCACGAATATCTGCCAGAACCTCATTAAGCCTTGTTTCCATATATACATCTCGTGCCCATTCACATACCTTCGAAACAGAAACACAAATACTGCAAGTAATTTCAACTTTCCACCAACCACAACCACTACAAGATACCGAAACATCAAACCCAAAAAATCCTCAAACAGAAGATGCTAAGCATCTAGAAGAAGAAGAACAACAACAACAAAATTAAAAATTTTACATAATAATTATACTTATTCCAAATATTTTCTATTTTATTTTCCTATAATCTTTTATGCTTTTTGTTTTTTTCTATTTTATTTATTTCTATATTATTTTTATGAGTTTTTTTAGGCATCTCTAGCTAGAGATATATAACTATATATCTCTGGCCTTTCAGCCAATTAAAATGAAAAAGTCACGTGATCTCTATTTTGCCGATCGTTATAATGCCGAACAGGTGACTACTTTTGTGTAACCCGGACCTACGATTTCTTGGACTGTTCTGTTTAACGATTTACAGAAAAAAAAGTAAAAATTTTAAAAACTTTGAGCGAATGTATATCTACAATCACTTGACCAAGGTCGATAAAAATTTTTTTATTTGAATTCTATAGATTCATAGAATTCAAATAAAAAAAATTTCATTGACCTTGGTCAAGTGATTGTGGAGATACATTCGCTCAAAGTTTGAGTAAAGTCAAACCGCCTATCAAAATAGAAATTAATCTAATTTTTTTAAAAACCTTAAGCGAATATATCTCCACAACCACTTGACCAAGGCTGATAAATTTTTTTTTTATTTGAATTCTATGAATCCATAGAATTCAAATAAAAAAATTTCATCAACCTTGGTCAAGTGGTTGTGAAGATATATTTGCTCAAAGTTTGAGTAAAGCCAAAATGCCTGTCAAAATAGAAGCTGCGCCAATTTCTTAAAAACTTTGAGCGAATGTATCTCCACAACCACTTGACAAAGGCCGATGAAAATTTTTTTATTTGAATCCTATGAATCCATAGAATTTAAATAAAAAAATTTCCATCAGCCTTGGTCATGTGGTTGTGGAGATACATCCGCTCAAAGTTTTTTAAGAAATTGGCGCAGCTTCTATTTTGACAGGCGTTTTGGCTTTACTCAAACTTTGAGCGAATGTATCTCCACAACCACTTGACCAAGGTTGATGAAATTTTTTTATTTGAATTCTATGGATTCATAAAATTCAAATAAAAAAATTTTCATCGGCCTTTGTCAAGTGGTTGTGGAGATACATTTGCTCAAAGTTTTTAAAAAAATTGGCACAGCTTCTATTTTGACAGACGTTTTGGCTTTACTCAAACTTTGAATAAATGTATCTCCACAACCACTAGACCAAGGTTAATGGAGATTTTTTTATTTGAATTCTATGAATCCATAGAATTCAAATAAAAAAATTTTCATCGGCCTTGGTCAAGTGGTTGTGAAGATACCATCCGCTTAAATTTTTTAAAAAATTGGCGCAGCTTCTATTTTGACAGGTGTTTTGGCTTTACTCAAACTTTGAGCAAATGTATCTCCACAACCACTTGACCAAGGTTGATGAAAATTTTTTTATTTGAATTCTATTGATTCATAGAATTCAAATAAAAAAATTTTTACAAAATGCGCCGTTATTATGGCAATTCTACCTTAGATTTGGTCAAGTGGTTGTGGAAATATCTTCACTCAAATTTTTTATAATTTATTTTGATAGGTGTTTTGACCTTTTGCTAACTTTTAGCAAAGGCATCTCCATAACCACCTAACTATCCTTTAATAGATCGAAGTTTAATTTGTGAAAAATATGTTAACCGGTAAGTAGGTTCATTATCTCGATGAAAAAAAGTTTGAAACCACCTTTTTTTATCATAGACTTGTTCTGGTTGGCTAAAATTTATTATTCCAGTATGAATCTTTAGCAAAATTATAGTAACGGTAAGGATTGCTTGCAATATTATGCACAATCTCAGTAACTAGCTAATCACATTGAGTACCATTATTCTCTAAGTTTAGTGATTATTTATTTGTTTAATTAATTTGAGTTAGCATTGAAAAAATTATAGTGGATTGGTATATGTTTTTTAAAGACTCTATACATACTATACACCTAAAAATCTCTTGTTTAAATTAGTGTTTCATATCAATATATATAGTTATACTGTATTAGTTGTATACCTGATATTTATTTTATCTGAATTCAAAACAATACATAACTATACATACTGTTCAACATTTTTTTAAATTAAACTTATATTCATCCATTCCTGTATCAAACAACAAAATCATACGATCATAATCATGATTATTTTCACGAAACGATTATGATATAATAATTACCTTTGCCAAAACTTATTTTATTAATGAAATTGTAACACTTTCTATCTATTGTACAACAAACAGATTGAAAGTAGCTAGTGCTTGGATCCGGATATATAACCAGATAACCGGATAGACATCCTGTTTCATTTTTTATCAATCTGAATTTATAAACGGATATATATTAGTTATCCGAATTGTAATATGGATTATATCTGAATTTTAATTCTAAAATTTTTTTTTGTAAATTATCAACATTTATAGTGTGTATAAGTACTATCAAGTAAGTATGTAGCAGGCAAGAATAAAAATAAAACTAATTATATACTGATTATTACTTATTTTAGTATCCTAACTAAAATTAAGAGGCAAAATATTATTACGTATTGCAGCTAAAAAAATCAGCTTCTTTATTTATAAATCTATTTATATAGTCTAACTTATATTTAAAATTTATAATTGTTTCTAATAAACTGCCACTTTTATATATTACTAAATCTCTACATCGTATTCTAACTTATGTGCAAAAAAAACTAATAACAACGTAACTTAGAGTAATATACAAAAACTACTTAAAAAGAAATTTAAAAAAAAGAATAATGATAACGATAATAAAAAGATAAAAACTTAAAGCCCAATATATAGTTATATATCTAACGCTAATATATAGTTTAGATTTTAAATTTAAAGTCACGTAATACAAATAATATATATTACTGATTATCAATCTTTGTAAGTACTGTACAGCGTTACTTCGATTGTGGCTCAAAAATAGTACCCAAGATGCCAATATTTCGTTTAAGAAAAAAGATTCTTTCAAATAAACCACTATTAATTGATATACGCTTTGCTGTTATCAAATTACCTGCACTTGAAAATAAGCCCTCACTAGGTGTTGAAGTGGCTGGCATGGCCAAATATTTGCGGGCCAAACTGGCAAAAACTGGAAATTTTTCTTAAATATTTTTCCACCATTCAAGCGGATTAGTTGTAGCTGGTACTTGATTGATCTTAAGATATTCATCTACTTCATTTTTAACTGGTGCTATATCTGACCCAAACATAATTGAAAAAAGTTACATTTGATTCTTTTTTGGTACTTCATTTGGTAAGTCAGTAATATTTTTATTCTCAACACAAAGTGAATTATATTTTTCTTGCAAAAGACTAATAGCCTTATTACACTTCCAATTATCCAATTATGTCATTGATTTACAACGAGGATCAAATAACATTGCGATTAATGAACTATCAAAAGATGTATCCCAATAATGATTTAATGCTTTATATAAATTTTCTTTTACCTTTTCTACCAAATTATCTGTATTTTGGGGTTGACTAAGTTTAAACTTACCTCTATTAATAGTTGTTATTAGATCTGATTCTTCATTCAAATCAACTATATCATCCTCCTCCTCTTCATCAAAGATCGTTAACATATTTGTTAAGTCAATTTCATCAATTTCATTACCACTTATGCTTGTTAATAATGGTTCACAATTTCTAGTAAGAGTAGTAATAGCAGGCTACATAAAACTAACTGTAGAATAATTACTACCTTCTAATAATTCAGTAATTTCAGCAAAAGAGGTCAAGAGCGCAGTTAATTCTTCAAGAGCTTTCCATTCTTCCTCTGTAATTATTAAAGATTTTAAATGATTTGCATCTTTACGAATATTATAATCAGTATCTGTACTCATAGTTGCTTCTATTATTTTAATAGCACGTTTGATTTGAAGTAGCCGTCTCCATGCAATATATGAAGAATTTTAACGAGTTGGAGTATCAGATATTACACGAAGAAATTCTTGTTTATGTTCATCAATTTTTTGTTTTGAGACTTTTAATAATTCTTGTACTTTTCGCAATTGCTCATTTTGTTTAGGTGTACCCAAAAAATTAATTAATTGCTTTGCACGTTTAATTAATACTTCTGCAGCTTTTAACCCTTTACCAATAGCAAGTTGAAGAGTATGTGCCGTACATGGAATCCACTCTATATTTTCTATTAAATTAATAGACTTAATCATATTGATGGCATTATCTGTAGTAATTGAGATTACTTTTTTAGAGAGTCCTCAGTTATTAATTATGTTTTCCAATTCTACTTTAATAGTTACGTATCATGAGGGTATGGAATATGTTTAACTGCAAGTATGGCTTCTTTTAATTCATAATTGGAATTAATGTTATGCCTATATAACCACTTTTAGAACATGCAGTCCAAAAGTCACATATCAATTCACATGTTTTAATTTCTGTTGCAAAGATATTTTTAAGACGTTCTGCTGAATAATTATAACTTTGATAAATTAATGCCTTTATAAATTTATCAGATGGCAGTTCGTAATATGGATTTAATGCATGAACAAATTCGATGAAACTTGTATTTTGCAAAACGTAAAGAGGTTGCATATTTGTAACTATCCATTTTACCAAGGCACAATTAATAAGCTCCTTTTGATATAAATTCTGTCCAGCAGCACGATGAAACATTTCGGTGATTGTTGGTTATGCATTTGTATTAATAATCT